TTAATACGATGGAGTGTTTTTTTTTATAGCTCAAAAAATAATAAAAAACTGAAATTTTATTGTAACTATACCGTTGCCGCAGTAGTTCATTATGAATGTTACACGAAAATTTTTTACTAATTGATTTTCATATAGGACTACATATAGATTTGATTTACATATGTAGTACATCGAACACCCCAATAGTACAGCCAATCAAAATGCTCTATATGTTACACCTGGCTATAATATAGTGATAGCACTATAAAATAATTGCCGAAAAAAAAGTTTCATTTAAAAAATGTGGCGTTTCCCATTAAAAAACAGCAAGCAATTTTTAGTTTCTCGTAACATTTTGTTTACATTAACTAATACACAAAAGTTATCATGGAAATCACGATTTTCTTTACCAAATCGAACATATATACCTCGTGCGGGATTATATAATAGACCAATTGTTAAACCTATTTTATTTGCATCCTTCACGTCGGGCACAACTTTCGCAATTGCCTTGACTTATTCCGAATATAAACGAAGAATTTACAGTAGAACTCCAATAGAACAATATAATAGCATGGAGACATCTATCATTCCGAACTGGGCCCAAAGAGCATTTGGCCAACGATTGAGAAAGTTACAGAATTCGGACATTTATATAGAACTTGAAAGGAACGTAGCGCTTATAACGAGACGATGGCGTTCATTAAGTGATAGCGATAAAACGTTATTAGCGTTGATTGGGATCAATGCTATAATCTTTGGAATGTGGCAATTAACACCATTTCAACATTTAATGGAAAAATATTTTATTCATCATCCATTATCTGGTCGAATGTTTACGTTACTGACATCAGTTTTTAGTCACAAAGAGGCATGGCATTTTAGTTTTAACATGATTGCATTATGGTCTTTCGGTGGAGTAGTTTATAGAATGTTAGGTAAAGAACAATTTCTCGCATTTTACATCAGTTCAGGAATAACATCATCATGTGCAAGCCACGTATTGTCCTTGGTGTTTAAAAATCGGAAGAACATAATAGGTTCATTGGGAGCTTCGGGGGCTATTTTTTCGTGTCTAGGCGCGTGTGCCATGGAATATCCAGAGGCATCGGTATATTTGATATTTCTTCCATTCTTTCCTATAAAACTTGGTTATGCACTTCCAGCGCTTATGGCTTTTGATTTATTTGGTATAATATCTGGAATGAGAATGTTTGATCACTTTGTAAGTGTAAATCATATTTGTAAAATATTGTTTATTTAGACATTTTTAATTAACGCTAATATTTCATCAATTATTCATAAATACAGGCACACTTAGCAGGAGCAATTTTTGGAATATTATATAGTAAATACGGACCAGAAGCATACAATATTATTTTAAATATTTTAAGACAACTATAAAAGTTTCGTAATTATCATTTTTTTAACGTGATTAATACCTTGTATTTTAATTGAGTGTAAAATTGAAATGTTATTACGAATTATTGAATTGTTTATTATTCTTTAAAAATGATTGCTCTAACATAATATTATAATAAATATATCAGCCCACCAATATTGTATTAGTTTTGTTTATATGCTTAGACGTTTGCCTCGTGAACATGTTTAATTTAATCTAATTATTTTCTATATGATCTATATGCTTAGTCCATCTAAAATAAAAGAACAGATCTCAAAAGGCTCAATAAAATCTCTTGTAGCTTGAAATTTTATAAAACTAACGGGGTTGTTTTTATTTTCTTCCTCAAAACATTTAAAATCCATGGTGATTATATTACTTTTTGGTATATCAGCCGAATCCAAATCCATGGCTACGATATTATCGATCGAATCATAGTCTTGAGCTTCATAAGAAGATTCAAGTTTTTCGCAAATTTTCTAGTTATTTTTAAATTATGTTATACATCAACAATATAAACAATTAATAAATAAAATACATTTTAAAGTTACCCAATTATATCCATCAGAAGAAATCTCAACGGTAAAAGACGCATCAAAATTGCTAATATCTTTTGATGATACAATAGTAACTTTGTTATATGATTTTGGTTCTACAAATTGTAGTCCAAAATAATCGCCCTTTTTAGGTACTATAAAGGGTTATTAAAAATAAATATATTAATGACAATAATTTAAGGAAACAATGAAAAGTTGTTATTTACTTTTAAATGAGTTCCAGCAAGTGGTTAGATCCAAATCTACGGCATTATGGTAAGAATGTTTTTCCCAGAATTCGTTACTTGGAAAATCCAAAGCATTGAATTTAGCTTCCTGTTCGTGAACATTTGTAATATTATTCGCGTAATGAACACTAGATGGATGAGGAAATGGGTCGATATTTGTGATAAAAAGGCATTTATCGTTTATGCAAGGTGCTCTACGTATGAATGAATTAATTAATGAATGAATGAATGTGTGGATTCACATATATTGAATAAATAAATAGAAACAACCATAGAAATAACATTTTGAAATGATATTAAATAATAAAGGTACCTAACATAACGATCATGATAATAAGGAGTTTCTTCTACGCGTTCGAACATATCAGAGTCTGGTTTGAGGGCCAGTTCAGTATATAATTTTTGAGTCGCGTCAAGCTAATAAAATTTGAATTAAGAATATTAATATTAATAAATGAAAGATAAGAAAGAGAAATCAATGGAATTAAAAAGATAATATATATAATATATATATAAATATTTCAGAGATACATTACAATATTACTGTAAACCACGGACCAATGATCAATGCCACTACTCCAACCATGATCTTGATCCAATGGGGTTAAAGGATTAGAAAGTTGATAAGGATATTGATTTGACCACAAAGAAAAGTACATATCAGCAACTTTAAGGTGATCTTTTGGTAATGAGATATAACCAAGTTGACTCATAAACTTTTGAACTTTTGCCCGTGGAATAAAAGATCCGCAACCGAGCCAAGTGAAACCAGTATGAAGATTTTTATCTGAAACGAGACGCTATATGAATGAATTAAATATATTAATAACATTAAACTTGATAATAACACAATCAAGAACTTACCTGCATTAGAAAACATCCATCTTCGGTGTTCTAAATGGATGAGTGGCATTGTGTTTGAATGAATTAGACTAGGGTTTCTGAGGAAATTAGTGTAAGTACTGTCCATATATAAATTTAACCAATCGTCATCTTGGAAATAACAATAGTCATATTCAGCCATAGAGCATGTTATGTATTTAGAAAGATCATGAAGATTTTCATCAGAATTAAACACATTCAAGACGACATTCATATTATCGAGTTTGAAATCCTGGGATTAAATAAATTTTAACAATCAATCAACAATTTAACGATTGTTATATAAACTAATCAATAGGTGTCACTATTACCTCGACATTAAGTTTTGTTCCATTGTTATTATTCCATATCAATATTTCTTTTATATAAGGATATTTGGAAATATAATTCACCACTACTTTTAAACTCTCAGTACGTTTCCATCCCAACACTATTGCGGTTACAGGAATGAGATTATTCCTTTTTAAAGCGTCTTTAGTAAAGTGCTCATGTTTATAAAAACTTGTTCTAGAATTAATCTTTTTGTTCAGATTGATTTTCCAAGCTAGCTGTGAAAGATCGGTTGTTGAAAAGTCAGAATCTAATGAGCCACTTAATTCAGGCAATGCACGAGGATCAGAGTAAGATTGAGGTTTTATGATAATGATCAGTATGACCGCACCGATTAATAGTATAATTAGAGTAAATCTATGATTACTTCTACGATTAAAAAGGCGATGATAGGATATCGCAGATCTCTTGTAACGAAATAGATCATTTCCTTGACCCTTTTCGAACATTGCTAGAGCCTTTGGGCATAAAGACTCCAGTACGCTATTAAAAAAAAAAGGAATGCTCTATTAAAAAAAGGAATGTTTTGGTAATAAAATCTTGGGTGTTACTATGAATATTAAAGAGCATAAGATACTGGTGAAACTGTTTAATTTCACTAAGTGAAATGGTGAAATACTTTCACCAAAATAAAAATTTGGTGAAATAGTGAATGTGAAATAGGTGAATTGGTGAAACTGTGTGAAATTGGTAAAAGAATAGGCCGAATTTTAGAACCTATACCATACTGATCTGGTGTTATATATATTAGTGTTAGGGTTAGGCCTATACTATACGGATCAATTTACCAAATCCCCCAAATTACAAGTTTCCTTATTTGGAAGGATGTTAAAACGAAGCAATTAAAATTAGGTTACGTAGGGTTGTTCAGTTGGGTAAGGATTATACTCTCCCAACATTTTTTATTAGTGTCCCAAAGGAAGTTAGCATATGTGGCGGATTTGAGAAATTCAAATATGTCACCTGAATTTGAATGTGATATGTCCAAACTAATTGTGCCGCAGTTTTTTGCCCAATTTGCCTAACTATATTTCTATACGTATCATATTCGTAATTACGTTACGTATCAAATTAAACTTAGCAGTTATCCGGCAGATACCGATACGTACGTACTATGTGAACACTGATGGAAAATTTTTTTTGCAGTTTTTTTATTAAATCTTACTACTTGGCCCGTCATTAAATACGGGTTATATGGTAAGAAATAAGCATAATATTTAAATATATTGCATTTGAATATTGCAAAAGCCATTATCTTACAGAGACCCGTCGGGGCTATATATTCAAAATTGTTAGACCTGTGTATAAAGTCCCAAAAATTCAAATGAGTTTTTCCGAAATTCGGATAAATTTCGGCACGGGTCATATTTTAGATTATCAATTATGCAATGTCTGAATTTTGTGAAACAATCCAATTTTTTTAATAATACTATACTATTGTTAAGCATAAATAGGATAAAATTTTACTATACAGTATATATAAAAATATACAGTATTAGAGCACATCGTAAAACGGCAGGTTATAAGGGAAGAGTTAGGTATTCTGGCGCACCTAAGCTGCGCTTGCCAATTAAAATTTTATAAATTAAAATTTATTTTTAAAATTTATTTAACTAACTAATTTAACACTTGATTATCTAATAAAGAAAAAAAAGAATATTATTACTAAAAAAATTTGGTTATTGAAACTTTTATAAAAATGATTTTTTAGTTATTAGTTTATTAAGTGAAAAGATTGTAGCATACTTACAAATAGTAAGATATTTATACTACATAAGTTATATAATTGATATTTTTTATATAAATGCATTAAAATAGAACTTATTAACATTATTACAAGGTTGTAGTTTTTTTAATACAGTACAATTAAGTAACAAGATTACCTGGTACAGTGATTGATTATTGCAAATATATAAGATGAAGGTGTAATAGTTCATTTTATATTACATAGTAACAAATAAATTATTTAAGATAGTAATAGTATATAGATTAATTTTTTATTAATAATATACATAGTAACAATCTTACCAGAAGTGTGGTGACCTAGTGAAGTGGTCAGGTTGTCAACCCTCCAAGTGGTAGGTTGTGAGTTCAAAACTCATAGACAGTGAAATTTGAATAATTATCTATATAATATTTGTATTATAGCAATGATATTCTGTTGATCAGTTGAGATAAAATACCTGTAACTATGGTCGCATCAGCATGATTGGCAGGTCAGTGACATTTGTGTAATCTTGGTTATACAGAGGGATCAAATCAGTACCAAGTGGTGCAAACTCAAGATAAGTTCTTTGGTTATATAAATCTATAGAACTGGAAAAACCAGAACTTACTTGGAAAGATTTGAATAAAAAAATAATACAAATCTTTGATAGTATTACTGTAAAAGCTAGACTTAGAAAACAGATATCAATGTGAAGGAATCAGATGGGCAAGAACCTCTAAGTAAGAGGTATCACCAACTAGATTACTGAAAATCGAATTAGAGAAAAAGGATATTGGATCAGACTTAATATACCAAGACAGATCATAGTCCTACTAGGCTATTTGGATTAGGAGTCTAAGATCAAAATAGAAATATACTATAAGTACTAGGTATATACTGTGAAATTGGTATTAGGGTCTGGGTGAACTTTGCAAGAACATGTCCTGTTAATGTTCTATAATAAAAAAGTAAATAAATTAGTTAACAGAAAGGTATTCTGGGCCTTATAGTTAGGTGATATGCTCTGAAATATGTAATGGCCTGACAGACATACAACAAAAGAGGTCACATGTCAAATTAAATGACATTAAGGTGTACAGAAGTCTTAGAACTATTCGACTAGTATAAGTATAAAAGATCAGAGTGTTTAAATAAGTAATCTCTTAGTAGATTATAGATATAACAACTAGTATAAAACCTTCAGACAGATTATTTAAATAGATAACTAAAAGTTGTATAAGTGGTTAGTTGTACACTCACTTTGTACAAGTTATACAATTAATGTATAATTAAAATACATAATAAAAGCAATAACTACTGATAGACATCAGTCTTAATAAAAGCAAAAAAAAAAAAAAAAATAACCTTACCTATAAGAATTATTTTAAAGAAAAATATTATCTTTTATAATTAAAAAATTATTATATTTAAAATATAAAAACTTAAAATTAATTAAAAAAGAAAAAAGATATCTTTTATATATCTTTTTACCTAGTAGAACTCATAAAAATTTATGTAATAGAAATTATAATCTTAAAAAAAACTCTTTTCTATTTATCTCTAATTAGGAAAGGAAAATAAAAAAACAACAATTATAAAGTTATTAAATACAAAACAAAATTTAACAAAAAAATTCATTTCAAGAATTAGAGCTCTTGTACTAAAGAAAAGAAAACTTTTTCTAAGAATTAAATCTTTATTGACAAAAAAAATTTATAAAATACAAAAACTTGATGTCAGAAAAAAAGAAGACAACAACTTTTAGATAGAAAAAACTGATAATATTTCTTCTAAGTGTGTTCTTACAACACAAGAAGAAACAGAAATAGTAAATAAAAAACTAATATTAGTAGTAGTAATTCAAAACAAAGAAAATTGGTTAAAAAATATTATTCAAAAAGACAACAACTTCTAAGCTTTAAAAAACATATCAAATTATAGGAACAAACCAAATGATGAAAATGTAAACAACAACAAAATTAGTTATATATTAACTACTAAAGAAAAAACAAATTATACTATAAGAAAACAGAACAGACACAGACTCATTTTAAGCTATGTGTTAGCTGCCAAACAAGGCACAAATTTGTTAGCAAAATTAAAAAGATGAAAATTAACCTTTGTGACTTTTTTTTTAAAAATCAAATCAAATTAAAAACAACAATATACTAATTATTGATATTTTAAATCTTTATAATTCATTTAATGAAATTATGATCTTTTTATATGAAGGTCTGAGAGAAGATATTGTTGCAGCCAAACAACACTTTAAAAAAGGCTTAAGATCTTATCTAAAAATTGTTTTTCTAAACCAAAATTGATTAACATATTATGCTACTAATAGTATTAAAATTTTTAATAAAACATATTATGGCTATATTCCAATAGATGCATATAAATCTTTTCTATCAATTAAAATAAAAAAATGTATCATTAAGAACTAAGAAACATATTTTTAGTTTAATAAAAGAAGCCTTTTAAAATTTTAAAAAAATTGTCTCAATTAAATCTTTACTTATCGAAGATACTTTTTATATGACAGACCAATAGATTATTATCTTTGATAATACTGAAGACTCAACATTAGAATAAAAAATCTCTTGATTCATATATATAGATGATAATAAAGTAACTACTAAGTAAAAGGAGACACCAAAAGTTTGTTATTTTTGTGACCAAACAGGACACATTAAAAAAGACTATATACAATTTCAAGAAACAAAAAACCTTAGACTGCACTATTAAGAATTCAAAAGAAAAAGTACACAAAACAGAATGCTTATCAAAAGCCCAACAGAGGATAACCTATATATGAAAGAAGTAGAAAACCTCTTAATGCAAGAAGAAACCCAAAACATAAACATAAATAAAACATACTTATAAAAACAAAAAACAGAAAAAATTATAACATAAATGCAAAACAAATACTGTTTGCACATAAATCACTATTGAAAATAATTTTAATATAACACAAAGCCTAGTGATTAATAATATAAATTTGAAAAATGCTTAATTAAATATGCAAGAAAAAATAGATAACCTAACTTTTATGTTAGTTGTATATAAAAAAAAGAAAACATAAGAATTCAAAACTTTACAAAGTAACCAACAAAGAAAATTACTAGGATAATCTAAAACAAAGAGTCTATGGAAGCTCTAAAACTAAAATTTTATTTATAATAAGCTGTCACTCAATCAAAATCACTACATTAAATGTTAAAGACTTAAACAATTTAGACAAACAGACTAAAACATTAATACTTTTAAAATCTTATAAACTAGACATCATTTTTTTTACAAGAAACAAATAATTTTTAAAAGATTAATAGTCTTTTGAATCAATTTAAACAGGCAGAATGGCAATTTTAGCAAAAAACAAAAACATAAAATTTAAAGACACCAAGAAATTACAAGAAGATAGAATAATCTCAACATTTTCATATTCAAGAAATTCTCTTTCTATGTGATAAATATTTATGCATCATCAAACATTTTAAACAGAACTAAATTTTTCAACAATTGAAATATAAACAAAAAAGAGAACATGATCAACATTACTACTAAGAACCTAAATACAAGCTTGAATTTAGATATTAATAGAATAGTCAAACAACCTCTCAAAATGATCCTTTAAGAATGCTACTTAATGAAATTACAAAAAAAGTTATTGACTTAGCCTCTTTTTCTAAACAAAACCTCTTTTATACATTTTATCAAAATACACATAACAACTAAATAATAGCTACTCAACTAGACTATATTTTTATAGATAAAAACTACAGCTACCTCAAATCAAAAACTAAAACAAGATTTAAAAACTTTGATTATCTCTTAGTTGAATGCACTCTAAGCCTAGAACAAAAACCTAGGTATTCAATATTTTGGAGATTTAATTCAAATTCCGTTAAAAATAATGTTCTAAAAAATGAGATCTTGGATAAAATTAAAAATGCAACTTTTACAATAAGCTATGACATGCATAAAATTTATATCAAATTGAATATAAAGACCTTTAAAAAACTAAAAGTTCCAGAAGACAAAATAAAAAGACTCAACAAGAAAATTAATTATTTAAAAGAAATTATAGCCAAAACTTTTAGCCAAACACACCTCTTTGTTACACTAGACAATCTTAACTTACAAGCCCAATTAGAATTAACTGCACTGGCACAAAGATGATAACATCAATCAAAAACAAACTGGATAAAACTAGAAGAAAAATCAACTAAATACTTCTATTTACATTTTAAAAGTCAAAGCTTATATTCAGCTTTTACAAAAATACAAATTCTCTTAACTTAGAAACAATCTAATAAAAAAGAAATACTTAATTATATCAAAGAATAATATTCTACAATATATAGCAAAAAAGAAATCAACAATGAAATAGCAAAACAAATTACTAAAAATCTTTTACAGGTTTCTATACAAATGAACAAAAAACTAACAAACTTTATTTCCAAGAAAAAAATCTTAATAGCTATTCAAAAACTACCAAATAACAAGTCTTTAAAACTGAATAGCCTCATATATAAATTTTATAAATTTACAAAAGAACACATCATACAAATTCTAAAACAAATCTTAACCAAGTATTAATTTTAGGAATAATGCCTTTCTTATGATGCAAAAATCTAGTCATACTAATATCAAAGAAG